CCGAGAGTTCTTCTGCGAAGACTGTGCCGCAGGCACCTGCTCCTATCTTCACGAGTGATGGGGTGTAGTACATGTTGCTGAGTTGGGGGATGCCCATGATGAAGCCGTTATACTGAGCCATTGTTTTGATGGTAGTTGTGGCTACGCGATAGAATTGCTCTCCTTGTGTAGATCTTGATGAGTGGGAAAAAATGGCGGAAGGACAGGAGGTTCGAGACGGTAGGTAGGCACATGTTAAAAAACTCCTGTCAGAACTGATCCGTTGTATCTTCATCCAATGTGGCAGCATGTAGGGCCTTGATGTGAGAGTGAAAAGATGGGATGACCCCTAGTATTCACGTCGGATGACTCTTGGGATGTAACAACTGAAGGTTGGATGAAGCTGCTGCGACCTCTCCTTTGCGGCGTCTTGTATACATCGATGTTCAACCTTTGGACAGCGTAATGCATCCCCGATATCTGAGCTATCTGCATTTGGATAGACTTCCTCTTTGGGAAGCCAATTCTTCCAAGTATAGGACCAGCCACGCAAAAAGATGACGAGAAGCAGTGGAGGAGCATTGGAGAAGCATTGGAGAAGTATTAGAGAAGCATTGGAGAACCTCGAGCATTGGAGAAGCGTGCAGACGACCCTTCCTAGTCTTGACTTGAAATGCACTCGCCTCGTTCTGACTCAATTTGGCAGACTAGCTGCATGAGCTCAAACCTGGGGAGCCAAGAGGACACAAGAATGGCGCCGTCTTAAAACTCTTCTTGGCGTCGGCTAACAATGGAGCCAGCGGTCTCCTTCCCCGCGGCCGTCATGTGATGGTAGGCTGTTAGGAAGGAGATTATATAAGCACCTGCTGGACCTCTCCACTTGTGCTTGGCATGGTGTCCAGTTCAGGCAGCAGAATTGTGGCCAACCAGATAACTTCCATGTAGTCGTCGGCGCACCTGCGCATCCGAGGAGCCTGGTACAGGCACCGAGATAACTTTGGCTATGCCTTCCCAGCAAGTCCATCGCGACTAATCTTCCTTCCTTCTGTTGTGATTGTGACTTCCTGTGGTTGTTGGAAGAGCCCTGTTCCCTTCATTATGTTGACAGTCCGTCTCAATTTGCCTCGGTCCTCAACACGTATCACGGTCGACGGCATCGGTCTACTTCGACTGAGTGATTCCTTAGCTTCTTCAGTTCTTTGCTAGATGAGTTTTTGCTAGACACTATACCATTACTTGACCGTGTTGGGAGTGGTAAAAGGACTCCTTATCGCCATGGCGGAATACCAGTTACCCTTTCAGAGACGTCTAAGTCGGCTTTACAATGACACCAAGAAATCTTCCGACTTCGTCAAGGAGCCGGTTCAGACGGCGGAGGATCCGGAGATCAAAGCCTTGCATAGGAAATTACGCATCCAGAAGGACAGGCTGGTTACCTGGGGTGTCGAATGGTCGGATCCGAGCCAGTCGGCCGAAGTCCTGATAGATTCGTCTCTATCCAAGGCTGGACTCAGTGAAGTGGTGGGAAGCATCATGTCCACCATCAAGGACATTCTTGCCGAAGCTGAGTCACTATGGAACAGTTCTCCAAGGCTGACCGGTAACGAGGGCTATGCGTCTGAGAAGAAAAAGGATCGCGACCAGAAACTGCCCATCGTTGCCTGGGATAAAAGTCGTTTTGAGGATGTCGTTCGAGATCTGACATCCTCTATTGATACGCTCTATGATCTGTCCAGAACAAGATCATCATACGCGCAGTCCTCGGAAACGGCTCGCCAGCGCCTGTCCAAATCCACATCGTCGACGGAGGATCTGCGACCGTTTGAGTCGTCACGAATGGAGACGCCTCGGCAGATAGACCCGAAGACGCTCACCAATCTTCGGTCGTTGCAAGCCGAGCCCATAACGGAAGAAGCGCAGGTTGATCGACATCGAGATGTCGTATTCATGGACAAGCAAGCCTACTTCGAGTTGACACAGCAGTCCTCATCCGGCCGGCAATCAAACGCCCCATTGCTCCTCGAATATGCCAATTTTGACCCCATCTTCTCTGCCACGGGTATCCCTCCGCCCCTCACACGACTTGAGAAGCTGTGGGCAGGCTTGCAGACGAATACACGGCGTACGCCTGGAACGTGGAGTGGCCTTCCACGCCTACTGGGCCACTTTGAGGATACAGAGGAGTCCCGCTATGGCCTGGTTTACCAGTTTCCAGCTGCTTTCCATGCCGTCACTTTCGAGCACCTCACCCAGAACCCTCTATATAACATGTGCTCCTTGGCCGATCTTCTTGCTCGTCCAGACTTTGAACCAAGGCTTGAGGCCAAGTTTCGGTTGGCTTCCAACCTCGCCAACACGGTCTTTGACCTTCATTCACGAGGCATCACTCATGGAAACCTCATTGACGCTAACATATCTTTCTGTAATGCCGTTGGGACAGATCCAGCTGTTAGCGGCGACACAACTAGCGAGGTAGACATCAGACGACCACTTATCTCATCCTTCGACTTGTTCTCGGAGCCGCTGCAAGGTGAACAGCCTGAGCTACCGACTGCATTGTCACTTTACAAGCATCCGCTCGACCCGCACACCACAGCTCAATCTCCACTCGTTCACAAAGCCGACTCCAAATGTTTCGATCTCTACTCTCTCTCCATGCTCTTACTTTCCATAGGTCTCTGGACTAAGCTCGAAAATCTCGTACCCGATCCCTCAACACCAGTCATTCCAGAATCTGTTTTAGAGCAGCTGGCCATACGTTGTGGAACTCTCTACATGAAGGCTGTTCAAACCTGCTGGAACGCTGTGGACCAAGAGATGGCAGGTCAGCTTAGCAGCGATCAGGTCGTCGCTTGGGTTCAGCTGAGAACCGGTCGGTATCTGGAGGCTTGCTGCATCCTGGACGGTGTGAGCAACCTTGAGGGACGCCTGAGCAATGATCTGGGCACAGCTCTACCGGCTCGGTTGAGTGCGACAACCACGCCGGGACCGTCAAAAGGTAGCAGGGGGGAGAAGGAGAAACCTCAAGGACCACCAGCTATGCACGTCTCCACAAAGGAAGAGCCCCCGTCCACACCTGTTCAGTCGCAACCCGAGCTCGCATCTTCAAACACGTTACCCCAAGGTAAGCACGGGACTACTCTCCTACATTGGGATGTCGCTAACGTATGACCATCTACAGCCACAGTGGAACCTACGCCTACGCCTGCGGAAAGTAAGCCAGCGGGTAAGCTGCGGCTATTCCCTCATGTGCCGCTACCTCCGGATTGCCTCGACACGTGGAACACAGTCATCATGCCCCAGGTCAATATGGCTCTGCGCCATTTCTACCGCAAACACCCGGAATCCGTCGAGATATCTCTGGAGTCCATAGGCGAAACTCCACAAAAGGTCCAGCCTACTGTCCTCGTCGTGTGCACGTCTGTCAATAAAGTGAGAGCCATCCTTCGAAAGCAGCTGGGTGTCCTGTTCGATGGTACATCAGGGTTTGGCTTGAAGGTCTCTCGAGGATCGCTTGTTCGATCACGGAAGAGGGACGTCAGAAGTATGGCGAAGGGGCCTGTGGATAGTGACCAAATAACCGCCGCCAATCCTGGCTATCAAGAACGTCCAGGGAATGGGGCTAGTATCGGCGCCTGGATTGGTGATCGCCATCTACCCCCGGTCAGTTTCGGCGGCCTGATCTTGGTCGACGACAAACCTTATGGCATGACTGTACATCACATGCTGGATGACCCAGCGGAAGATCACCATCAAGTCGCTGAAGGAGGAGAGATACCACGTAGTATGGCAGGAGCCGATGTGGCTAGTGACTTGGCAGCGTGGTATGCCGAACTGTACCAGAATGATGACGACGGAGAAGAAACAAGCGGAACGGAAGATTTTGCCTGCGAGTTCTCTGACACGGACTCGGAAGGCTTTCAGGAATCTGATATCACCAGCGAATCCTCTGACATCGACGATGAGGAGGACCAAGAGGGGGACCCCGGTGACATGCCTGGCGTCGAACCTGGCTGCGGTGACGGCTACATAGTCACCCAACCAGCATTAGACGATGTCGAAGAAGGCTTCTACCCATCCCTCGACACCCAAGACGAAGATCATCTCGACACTTACACCCTAGGCGAAGTCTACGCCTCGAGCGGAATCCGCAGACGATCCGACAACGGCCTCATCCACGAAATCGACTGGGCGCTCTTCGAGTTTCACGATGGCCGCCAACCAGGCGACAACGCCATCCCCGGAACCACCTCCAACCACACCGAATGCCGTCCTGTCTCCGTAGCACCCACCTCCTCCCTCCCCGGGCTCGAAGTGCAGTGCATGGCGCGAACAAGCGGTCTCCAAACAGGAACCATCATGCCCGCCCTAACCTCGGTCAAGATCTACGGCCGAACCTCCCCCAGCCACACCTACCAAATCACGGGCACTCCACCAGCCAAAGACAAGAAGCATCAACATCTGCCAATGGGTATCCCCGGCGACAGCGGCGCCTGGATCATCGACCGCCACGCCGGACAACTCTGCGGCCACGTCCTCGCCTGGAGTGAGCGTAAGCGCGTAGCATATATCTGTCCCATGGACGTCTTGCTCAGAGACATCCTCGAGACCCTAGAAGCCGGTCATGTGCGCTTGCCGGGCGGCCAGGCCGTCGTCACCAGCCCGGACTATGGTACCCTGCGGCCCGAGCAGAAAGTCGCTGGCACACAGATCCAGCGCACGAAAGAAGCGGAAGATTATGATGACGAAGGGGTGGAAGTAGACATAGCCACTGAACTGGGGAGGGCAAGGCTTGACGCCCATAAGGCGGGGTTCAAGGCGGTGCAGGTCAGGGGAATGGTGGTTGGGTAGTACGGGCTTCTGAAATACTTTGTATAAGTATTACCAGGGGAATTTTCGTGTAAATAAGACATAACAATCCTTATGTCTTTCCAAGTACAAAACAGTTTGGTGGTGATGGTGGTAGGCGGTGGGGTGTGTCAAGAGGCAACAAAATGAAAAAAAAAAACACGAAAAAAAGACTCTCTGTCGGGGAATTGAACCCCGGTCTCGAGCGATGTCGGGGAGATGACAAGCTCACATACTAACCACTATACGAACAGAGACTGGATTACGAACAGCGGCCACTAATTGTGTTTATAGCAGGCTCAAATGCTTTGTCTACCCTACAGTTTGTTTCTGGGCAGCCTGACACATTCTACACCTCTATTGACCTGTGTTTTGCAATGACAGCGTGGATTTGGATGATATCTAACGAATGCGTCACTGCTGTATCCATACTTGGAGTGAGTTGAACTGTTCTGGGATCATGTCATGACAAGGCGCACATGCTTAAGGTAGGTAAAGTCTAAAGCAGCTGCACAGAATAAGTTGATTATGTGCAACAAACATCGTCATAACAGCCGATCACGATTTGGCTAGCATTTTCGCAGAACAACAACTGCGATATGAGTATAATAGGCTGCCCAAGAAAAGGGTGCGGAGGTGACTCAGGCAACCAGGCTAGTGATGTCTTGTGTACCTCCAGGTCCTGGACCTCTCCTCAAACTTCATCATTAAGTTGTTCGTCAGCAACAACCATACATCTCGTGTGAAAGTTCATTACATTGCGGTAAGCCTGTATCTGTTTTTTTGCATGGCAATAGCCTCCAAACATCTGGTAGTACATATGCCTAGGATCACCTGCTGAGATGATCCCCCAATATCTTCCTTCTACCGACAGATGATTCGTCACTATGCAACCACGTGGTGCTTGATGAGCTTCGATTGTCGTTCGCGTAGGAATGGCGACATCAGTTGAGGAGCTTGAAAACGGCAACGACCAAACCGCAGGCCAGGACGCTCCTAAGGATTCACCGTGTCAGTAACTGACACATCGACGAAGTGTGGTACACCTCTTATCTGAACTTACATTGCGAGGTGGCCGGATGAGCTGCTTCCACCGTCGTTCTTGCTGCCGGTATTGTTGCCAGCCGAACCACCAGCACTCGTGGTGGAAGATGGAACCGCCGTGATGGTGGAAGTGATGACAGTAGTGGCTGTGACCGAAGGATTAATTGCGTTAAAGGTGGTATTGGTGCTGGTGAAACCGGGCATTGTCATACCTGCACTCGCCATGGTAGGCGCTGAGTTCGTCGTGGTCTCCGACGCACTGTTCTCGGAGGACGCAGTGGATAAGAGGCCCGAGTTGTGGCCCGAGTTGCTCGCCTCACTGGCAGAAGCACTGGCGAAAACGTTGGCACCGACTGCAGTGACGCAGTACTCCAGGTACAGACTGCTGACGGCAACCGGGCCGGCGGCAGGGTTCATGGTACCGGCAGCGCCACCTGTGCAGGCTGCACTGGCACAATTGGTCAAAGCCTGCATAACCATCAGCGGAGCAGAAACGCATCCACATCCGTTGTCGATGGCAAGTCCAAGAGAACGTCCACAATCTCCGGCCGCCGAGGCAATGACGGCGGGCTGGAGGCAAGCCGAGACACAGGGCGCCTGCGTGACGACAGCTTGCTGAGCTGCTAGGCTGTAGAGCTCGGCGGCGGCATTGGTCGAAGCAGTAACGGTACCGACAGGAGCGGTCGCAGTATTGACGCTCGCCGTGGCGGGGCTGGGAGTGGTTGGCGCCACGGCGCTGGAGCTGGCCTTAACAGCGCTCGAACTAGCCGTGACAGTAACAGGGTTGCCAGTGACAGTGCTAGGGCTGGCAGTGACGGTGACGGGACTGGCTGTGACTGTTACGGCGCCAGTAACCGTTACAGCAGTCGCGGTCACAGTGACGGGATTCGCGATGGCGCTCGACAGAGCGGCTGTTTCAATGAATGACGAGGGATTAGGACCCGGATTCGAATCTGTGAGCGTAAAGAAGGGGAAGGACGCACCGGCACTGCTTCGACTGGCGGCAGACGCGGCGGACGCGGCACTCAGGCTGGAATAGAAGCTGCTCATCTCAGCTGGACCATCTGGAGCGGTTCCCTCACCCGGGTTGGTGGTGGTGGTGGAAGCGCCAGGGCTGTCTGGAGCGATGCCCTCTTGTGCCATGGTGGTCACACAATTGGTAACCAGGGAGAAGCCAGACAAACCGGCGAGGATGACGATCCCGGTCTTTGCCAGGACGGAAGACATGGTCGACGTGTTGAGAAGTGAACAATATCGTGAAATGAGTGACTAGAAGCTGACCAAAACCAAAGGTTGCTGGATGATGGATTCGGCAGGGTTTGATGATTTAGGTTTGTCTGAAACAAAAATTTGAATCACAGAGGAGAAGAAGAGATGAAGAAAATTGAGGGCGAAAGATCTGTGATTGTTGTTGTTGTGCCAAAGGGCAAGAGCTAGGAAGTGCTAAGGCATTCACTCAGGCCTCACCTTCCCCAGCAGTCGAACAACCACAAGCCCACCGAGAAAATTGCAGCTCCTGCTTCTGGATTTAGGGAAGGAGCAAAACTCCAGATCCAGTCCTGCACCAGTTTGACTTGTTCTCACCGGGCAGGCATGCTAGGATTGCTACACCTGCCCCTTCCCAGTACACAGATGAGAGGATCTTGAGGACTGTCTCCAAGTATAGGACCTTGACACACCCGATTGACGGGAGTACCAGCGACATTGCAGCAATGGCTGGTACGCCATACGTGGTAACATATGGTGGTGTCTCGTGGTGCTAATGGTTGTGGACTGAAAGTATCACACACACACCGTGCAACAGCATGATTGCCTCCAGTCTCGATAGCTGCGTCATGGTTACTTTGTTGCTCTGCTTGGGCCAATAGCCACGTGTTGGAGTGTCTGTTCGAACCTTACTTGCCAAGTCGCAGCTCGGGGTTTCTGTCCTTCATAGCTGAGCGCACAAGCAGTCAACCATGCATGTTAAGGTACAGTCTCTCAGCACAGGCATACAGTATACGATTTATGGGAGCCTTGTCCAGGGTTTTCAATATGACATAGCACAGCAGAACTGCGCCGTGAGATCTGTATGACAGATGGAACTGAGGGACGAATACCTGGACAAATAAGCCTTATATTTCCCCGTGCTATCGTAGTGTAAGGGAGGACCGCTGCTCCGTGTGAAACATCGCCTGCTGCAAGCCTCTCAGTTCTAAAAACAATTCCAAGCCTATAAACGCCGTACGTCCAATGCCGAGAACCACCGCATAAGTCAAACTCATCATCGTTTCGAATGCGGGTCCGACCCTCGATTAGAGCGCAAGTCCCAACACGGGTAACATAGCAGCAAGCCCGAGGCTCCCAAGGGCTGGGCCGACAAGCGCGGCGGCGTTTGTCGGAGTAGGTGTGGCCGTGCTGCTGGTGCCACTTCCACTGCTCGAACTGGCAGTGCTCGACGGTGTAGCGCTGGAGGTTGTTGAAGCATTGCCACCTGATAATGAGCCACTAACGAGACCTTGAAGGGTAGGGTCGGTGAATTCGGAGACGGTAGCGGTTCCGTTCTGGCAGTTCGTGAGGTCGTCGCTGGTACCCGACACGAAGTTGGCAAGCACGCACTGTAAGCGAATCCATTATCAGCATGTGGTGCAACACAGGAAGTTACGGCTGGGCTTCTTGCGCTTGACTTACCTGGTACAGCAGCCCATCAGGTCCGTTGGCAACAACACTGACCAAGCCCTGCGATCCCACCCATGATTCGGGGGCTGGGACGGCTTTCTCGCAGAACTTGCCGGCGCCGCTTTGCTGCAGGATGGGGAAGAACTGGGTCCAGTTGCCGCTGCCCGTCTTGTCGAGTGTGCCGCGGAAGAGCCAGTTTGTTTGTGTGTGGCCTGACAGCATGCCCACCGGCTGGCCACCTACGTGGAAGTCGCTAACTGTTCCCTTGTCGAAGTCAAGTGTGGCGCCACCGCAGGGGCTCTTGTCTTCGTCATCATCAATGAAGCCAGCTGAAGCTGGCGTGGTGAGCTGGAAGTGCGCATTTGCGACAGACAGCAGCGCGAACGTCGCGCATGCGACGGACTTGAAAGAGGCCATGGTTCGAGTGTGGCAGACAGGGCTAGGATGTCGCAGTGTCAGGGTTTCGGAGTTATTGCGAAGAGTCGAGCAACAGTGTGAGTTTTACTTCAGTTCCTGTTATGACGGCAGAGCGGGAGTCAGGGAGCCCATATATACAAGCAGCAGGTACGTACCCAGTCAAAACTGCCTCACTCGGCAGGGGTTGAGCTCTAATGCGGAGTCCCAGCCGCACCCGCTAACCCCTGCCAATTGAGATCCATGTTGACCTACCATTGAGCGTTTCAAATGCCATTGAAAACGCTCTAGGCCTTCTACACGTGTAGTAAACATTGCTAAAAGATCTCGAAACAACCCGGAGGTCAAAGCCAACAAGGTCGTGCTTTCTGATGGCCGTTTCACGATGTTTGAACGATTTGAGCAACCAATCCAATGACCACAGGTACCTTCCACGCGAAAAGGGCAACAACCACGAGGCAATCGGGACGCAAAAGCGTTCCTGGCCCTCGCCAGGCACAACCTGCACCTGTGACCTATGCTTATCTGACAGAACCACCAGAACGTGCTGAGTAACCGGCCAAGCCCGTAAGAAATCTGGTCTGAACAACTCATCAATGGCCGTTCCATCACGTCTACATAGCTGTGTAAGCCTGATCTCGGCCATGCATTCTACCTCTAATCAAGTGGCTACTCGGCACATATCCGAGATATAGCCTGGACAACTTTCTCACCGAGGAGTCGTCAACGGGGTAGAGGGTGTCACAACTGCTTCAAGGGAGGGGCAGGAGGGATTAGCGCCCTGCAAAACGGGAAGACCATTCCCAATGTAGTAACTGAGCGGGTTCTGTGAGCGCATTTGAGCAGGTTGTGGCGTCCGAGCGTCTAGTTCGGGGGCGTCGGTCAACCACCACGACAGGAACCGGGGTCCTTCCCATCGTGCCTTTTGCGATTTGACGGTGTGAGAAGCACTTATCTTTACTGGTAAATTTGAGCAAAGGAGCCGGATACCGCGGCGTTTATATGTATATTTTTGAGTCAATCTTGGCCTACGTATCATTTACTGGCATCACAACTACGGGCAGGTCCTAGCCAGCCTTCAGAATCCGCTATCGCATCCTGTCGCACCGGCACACTCGTACCGCACGCTTACATTGTAGGC